CCCCCCCCAAAACGCAAAGCCACTCCGACACCCCGTTCACATGGGAGAAAACCCAAAGGTCTCCTCACAGTAGCCGAGCCTTTCGGTGCTGAGCGAGCATCCTCCTGCCCGTGCCAGTCACTCGGTGCTGGAGCCGAGGATGCCGGCGGGAGGTTTGCGGTCCGGTTTGGCATTGGAGTCCCAGTCCTACACCAGCGTCCTAATTACCAGGGCACGGTGTAAGTGGTTGTGGGGCAGGGGAAGGAGAGGAAAGACACGGTCCCCCATTCCTGCTCCAGACAGCCCCTCGAGCACAGCGTCGCTCTGGTCCTGCTGGGAGGGAGCGATTGCTGAAGGATGGGACGGGCTGCCGGGGGTTTGGTGTCAGCGTCCTCGCAGCAGTGCCCAAACACGACCTCGTGGCCCAAAAGCGACCCTACACCTGGCAGGATGACGACTTGGCTTTGAGACCATCCTCTCTGCTTGTGAGCAAACTGAGTTTATTTCTACTCCCTTCGAGGCTGCCTGGGCTCACAAGGATGTGGCAGCTCCCAGCACTCGCTCCATCATGGCTTTGCTCTTTCTAGACCCCTTGGGGGGGGGGCATTTCCCTGCAAAGTCTCTTGCAGCACTTGCTGAAGAAGCTGGGATGAGTCGTTTTAGATTAACGACATGGCCAGACCCCCATGGACCCACCCCAGAGGTGCAGGACCAGCACCCCCAGCTGCAGCCGGGACATCGGGTCAGAGCCTGGTCAGAACCATGTGGTTTCTCACATCATTTTTCCTTGGCTCAACATCCCCCCCGGAAATCATGAGCTACGGATCATCTCTAAAGCATCTGCAAGAGGCAGCTAAGGGAAGTTGGCCCAATATTGGTGACCAAAATTCATTATACAAAGGGCTATAACACTGCTGGTTTGTTTGTGGGGCTTTGAGGGGTGATCCCCCCCCCTTTTTTTTTTTTTTTTATTAAAAAAAAAGCAAGGCAGAGCTGAAGGCACCTGACAACACTGACCTAGTTTGTACCATTGCAGGGCAGGCCACCATCTCTCTTCTAGAGCTGGTTTTATTTCTGCAGCAGGGTAGCAACATGGCAAACCCAGGCTGCTTGTGAGCCCCTCACTCGACGGGAACACCAAAGGTGGTTATTTGGAGAGGCTGCTGAACAGGGCAACACACATCCCATCCCCATCACGGCATCCCCCCCAGCAAAGGCACTGAGTCACAAGCACAACACCGGCCCAGAGGTTATTATTTGTCTTCACCAAACACCCAAGTCCCTGGACATCCTTTCTTTTGGTACAAAACCTCCTCTCCTAAGGAGCTGACGGAAGGAGGTGATGAACAGATTTATGACAAACAGAAGGCTGGAGGCACTTAGTCACGGCTGGTGGGATATAAATAAAATATTTGGAAGGCTGAACGTGCCTTCCCTGCTCTCCGCCTTGGGGAGAGAAGAGAGGAGAATAAATAGACTCGAGCCACTAAGGTCTCTGATGAGGTCCAGATATATCAGAAGGACGTATGGAGTTAATGACTTCCTGGCCAGCCTTGCTTTCAAGATGCTAAACTCAAACACAGGGAGAAAACAGGTTCCCATCTAGTTTCAGGAGCAAAATTCAGACAGTGTCAAAACGCCCTGTTCTGTTTCTACGCTTCTCTGTTCTCCTTTTGCATTTTTCCCCCCCCCCCTTGTTGCGCTGGCAGAAGTTTCTCCTTGCACGAGGAAGCCGGCGTGGCCACAGCACGTGCTGCCAGCAGCGAGCATTGCCCGAGCACCACGGCCCCGTGAAATCCCCCGGGAGCAGATGCTCCAAATAACCAATTCCAGGGAAAGCAATGCGCTGGAGGCTGGATAAAGTCGTGATCTCTGCATGGCACCTCTCCTGAGGGGGGGAAACACGCCTTCCTGAACAGGGGCTGCTCTTTTCATGGCCTCAGATATTTTTAGCAAGCAAAGAGATAACTTTTTTTTTTTTAATGGGAATAATCAATGAACTTGCAAAAGATCATTCACTCTGTACGTGCTAGGTCTTGTCAGCCCAGCTGCTGGTGCAGACGGTTTCCAGTCCTAAATTAAGGATTAAACCCAGTAACAGGGCTCACTATAAACAGCCAAGGGAAGGAGAGGTTGTTTTATCAGGAAAGACTGAAAGGTCTCTTGCTTTTAAAGTCTATAAAGTGGAGAGCAAGAGTACATGGACATTCACTGTCAATCTGTCCGAGAGAGAAACACCAAAGTGAGCAAAGCTGTTTAAATTTAAGTAAGACAACACTGGCCTATAAAATGAGTGGGTATAAACTGGATATGCACAGGCTAGAAATAAAATTCCTAATGGATGGAAAGTCTGGAAGAAATTCCCAACAGCAGCAGAAGAGGCAAAAAGCTCGCTTAAAAACCCTTTAAGAGTACTTAAAATGTATTTAAATCTTTTGCCTAAAAACCAGGAGAGTGAGGAATGTGTTGATGTGGCATCAGCAAAAATGGCTGGTTTTCTGTAAGATCATTTCTGATGAAGTCATTCTAGCCCTTTGCAGGCATCAAGCCCACCCCCCAAGTTCACATTGCAAGGTAAAGACTGAAATTGCAGGTTTATGTCATATACTCAACTGATTTGTAAAAAAAAAAAAAAACGCCCAAAAGGCAAATATAAAACAGTCACCTTCTCTCCCCTCCAGAAAATTTTGTGTTCTGCACCAGTTTGCAATAAATGAAGACTAATTCAGACTGATTGGATGAGTCACTGGCATGAAATATAAAGTGGAGAGTTTATTTAAAACCTCGCCATATGAAATTTAGCACACGGACTTGTCGAACAGATGCAATATTCAGCTTGACTCAATGTCTCTAACATTTCTAAGAAAAGAAACACTATTCTCTGTTTATGTTGCACAGATTGCCGCAGAAAGTCCCATCAATTTAGAAATTGAAGTCTCACACCCAGGAAGCTCCTGCAGTTGGAACTGCTTCAATGACCAGCGTTGAGCCTCCAGAAAAGCTCCTTTCCAGAGACCTGCACATCCCATTTCCTACCAGATTTTATGCCAGTGTAAGTTTTCCTAGGAAAACTGCTACAGCCTAGATAAAGTCTGGTTTGGTACAGCTTTTCAAGCAGACCATGCTTTATTTTATGCCAGGGGAGCAGTAGATGCATTTCAGTAGAATGTAGGACAAAAGGGAAAATTAGAATTGATAAATCAACTTTCACATAGATTATCACTTTGTAAAATGCTTTAAAAAAACTCAGGTGGAAAATACAGCGCAAAATCCTAATCACAACAACTATGCCAGCATAAGAAGGTAATTCACAGAAATATCTTGTATTTGTCCTTAACTTCCCCTGTTTCAGGCAGCATCAAAGCCACGCAGCATCCCTCGCCGCGGAGTCCGGGGAGACACCACGTTAGGAGTTGCAGATACAGGCAACCTGTACGTATGTAACCGAGTACTCCTACGTAGTCCAGAGCAATGAAAATGAGCCAATATTGCACAAGATTATCCCATAATTATCCTGTTTTGCTAAAGCGTCTACCTCATGGCCCATATTACACTGAACATTGATCACAAGAGAAAACTGATGCAAAGACAAAGCTCTTTCCATCTAGGATCAGCAATTTCAAGCACTTATATGCAGTAAAATAAATACATTCATATACATGATGCCAGTCAGCCCTGAAACCCATGGAAAACCCAGAGAGGGTACTTCAAGTCAGCTATTTTGTAGGATTGGGCTTTGGTGAGGGGAACAGCGGTCTTGGAAGCTACAGGCAGGAGCCAGAAGCAGGACCGAATAGATTTGGGATGAGGGCAGCTCAGCTCAGCCTGGATCTTCCAGAATGTTTTAGCAGATGTGAATGCAGAGATAACGTAATTTAAAAAAACCCATGCTGCCATCAGCAGATGGAGTGGGGAGATGTAAAGAACAGTATTTTAAAACAGGCACTCCAGACTGTATGGGACAGACTCTCATCTTTGGTCCAGAGGCATCTAAGTGCTGCTGAGAAGATATATTTGGTAATTTTCATACCTTGGAGCTTGTCGGGTGATGGCCATGAGCAGCAGCGAGGAGTAACATCCAGCATGTTGCTTTTCCGAGGGGTTTTGCAGGGCTGACCTTGAACCCTCTTTAAAAAGGTCACCGAGGTCTAGCCTAGGATCTCCAAGCTCACCGAAACCAGTGGGACACCCCACCTGCCCCAAAGCCTTCACATGAACCCCACGCCTCCCGCCGGTGCCTTTCTCTCCCCATCCCTCCACCTCCCACCTTACCCGCACAGCCTCAGCCGCTCTCCCCCATCTGTCCCATCTCCTCCTGCATCTCACAGCTGCAGCCACCGACACTGGAGCCGGTTCCTTCGGGGCTCATTAGCCAGTTTCTGGTTTCCTGTCATCATCTGAATCACTAACCCCAACATCCGCCGCTCGGCCGGTCAGCCCCTCGCCAGCTCGCGAGAGGGACCCACGGGTGGTACTTGAACGAACTCACCCTGGGCAGCCGCTCGCCGGAGGATTTCGGTTTATCTGCCACGGGGAGAGGAAGAGGCTCGGACGGCGAGGAACCACGTGCGCCGCCAAGGTTCCTTACCAAGCAGCCCTTGACTTTCCGATGGGGCTAGCGGCCCAGAAAAGTTCAAGTTTCCCTGTTAGCAAAGAGCCTGGGCAGGATTTAACCCTGTGCACTGGAAGCAGCAGATGCTGCCCAGAAAAACCCATAGCAGACAAAGCAAAGAGCGAGTCCTCTCTGAGTTTTTACAGAAAAGATGATATCAAGCCTCAAAGGCAGCAAATAGCCTGAGGTCAACATTGCTAATGGCCAAACCTGGAGCTTCTGTCCAGAGCTGTAAGAATAAAACTACTTCTTATGCTTCGGCATTGGCAATTTGCAGGCATCAGACTCAATTTCACTGTACTCTTAAAAAAAAAAAAAATAGTAGTTCCTTAGTTTTTGTTGTGCTTGAACAGAATAAGGAGGGTTTATGAATAATGGAGAATTTATCCACTGGCTTAGAGCCCCATTACAGTACATGAAATATGTATCCTGCTCTAGGAATAGGAAAGTCTGTGTGTGCATGTTACGGCCCTGTATAGTTGTAGCTACCAGAGTGCAACAGCCAGCCAGGCACACGCTTTATAGCCAGAACAAAACATTTCATGCTGCCTCTTGCTAGGGCTCTAGAATACCTCTCTTACATACAGGCATGTAAATTAGTCAGTACAGGGAAATTTTATTATATTTAAATTAGGGCACTCTGAAGCTACCACAACCGCTCATCTACATCCATCCATCTCTATGACAGAAGGTGACTCTTCTGTCATAAAAATGATAAAATAGCCAACTGTTTACAACTTTTGCAACTCTGGGATGGGAACTTTGCTATCAAGCTTTCAGAGGAAACACTGCTTTGATAGATAGTTAACCGCTGTGTATGCAAATACACTTAGACTTTCTCTCTTCCAATTCTAAGCTGAGGTGCAAAAGCAATTGCTTTGATGTGCCTTCCAGAGCTGTTCCCACATGAAATCTGGGTGCAGAAGCCTATCTTGAAATCAGTACGTATAATCTGAACCAAAGATTAGAAGAGCAAGACCCAGTTTTGCATTGCTTGCATGGTTTCTGGCTGGCCTCTGTGTAAAGGATACTATATAAGGTACAATGCTTTTCTGACTGCTAAAGCAGTTGCTACAAAATTAGCATTTCTAGCAGAGGTCTTAGCTATGAAGTAGTTTATTAAGGCCTTTCTAGCTTTTTTTTTTCTTATTTAAACATAAGCTGATAACGGAAGTTTTACAAAAAAGTTGTCTACAGCAGAATTGTTGCTCTGAATATGCTGGAGACAATTACGGTTTGTCTCTTCCGTACCAGAAGAAGTCTATTTTATTAGGAACAGCCGATGCTAAAAAGGTACCACATACTCGCATATAGGTTCCTGTGAAGCTTCCACAGCTTCAAAGATGACTCACTGCCACGGTACAGGTGTTACCACAGTTGGCACAGGCTGCAGCAAAGGCACCTCACGTTAAGTCCCCCCGTAGTCTCCCAGACCGACACGTGCAACTGCTCAACCTCTAGAGCAGGTAGAAGCTGTTGCCGTGCCTGAGGTGCAAAGCAGCAGGGTCACCCCCAGAGTGTTACAACAGCTCTTGGGTAGAGCAATGCCCTCCGAAGACACCAGTCCTCTCCAGAGGCCCAACTACCTTGATTAGAAGGCAATTACCGCAGTAACACATACAGCTGTATAGATACTATGTCCCTTCTTTGTATTTCTCACGCAAAGGGCTTGATGGAGGGGTTTAGGATGAGGACCCTGACTCCGAGCACCATCCAACACAACCAGTTCTGCTCTTCGTGAGGCCAGAGCAAGTCCCGTCTCCGACGCACACACCGTAACCCCTCGGACACCAAACCCAGCCTGGGACACCAGGCTCTGCCCTGGGCCTGCCCTCTCCCTCCTGTAACCCCTGTGCCTTGCCTCAGCCTCCTGCTAGAAGCCACGTCTGGTCTGACCAAAGGTCAAAGACACAGGAGCATCAGGCTTTTATCCGCTGCAATAAATTATATAAAACGCCACATTACAATTTCACCTTTCCATGTCCTTTTCAAAGCTTACCCATTTCAGCTTGGTTTTGTTCCACCCCCGTAACAAACACAGAGCATCTACTCCTTCGGTCCATGTTACCAGCTAACCAACCCCTCCTTCTCCCCCCCCCTTTTTAATACATAGCTAACCAGCTGTAGCAATCTCTCTTTGGGCCCAGAGAGGTTGTGAGACTCCACCTTCCACCCTGCCCCAGCTTACCTGTCGGATGGCAGACTGAATGCCCTAGGGGCCAGTTTACATCCTTTCAGAGAAAGGTGGGGTCCGCTCACAGACCAGCTGGTTTTGCTGGAACCAGGTGTTATGACTAATGCCGATCAGAAATTAGCAGTGAAACAACGATCAGAAAACAGCGCATCATCTAAACCTGACCTTTCTGCAGAAACACCCGATGCCGACAGTTTTGAGGAAAGGTTTCCGTGCTCCAACAGGCTCTTTCTCCCAAAGCTCATAAGCTTTGCGAGCCAAGCCTTGCCTGCTTTGCAGAAGACCAGCACTCAAATCCCCCTTGCTTTGGGACCAGAATAAGCACACCTGTCACCCCAGGCACTCGTTATTTGTTTTGCCACATTTTCACGGCAGCTTTAGTGAAAGCCACATCTTGGAGGCAATTTTCTGATGTGCTAAAGTAGTGCGCGCACATTTTTTGTATAGACCAAGAAATGGCTTTCCTTTTAGCTGTAGTTGCATTGAGCATTTAGGGGAAGTGCCACCTCCCCCCCTGCCCCAGCTGCACGCTCCACTGCAAATCTGATCTCACCGAGCTGAAACCGAAAGCAGCTCCGTTACAGCTGAAGATACATGCTGCTACCACCCAGTGGAAAGCCAGCTCACAACTAGGATTTCTGGGTGCTTTACAGAAATTTGGCCAAGTAAGGTTTGCAAAGACTAATCCTGTACATCCCTACGGTGCTATAAAGCTTCTTCCCATTCTTATCCTGCTTAGTTCATCCCCGTAGACACAATAATTCTTAAACTTGAACACAAAATCCTAGAAGGTTTGAATGCTTTTATTTGATTTTTTTTATACAGCAATACAAATTATACAGGTTCATTACAGTACAGATTTTGCAGGGGTTTATAGAGGTACTTAGTGATTTTTTGGTTTATTTAAAAGAAAAAGGCAGATCTTGGGAGCACGGTGACATGAACAAAACAATCTCCTAGCGGGAAGAAAATCCCTACCACGGGGAACACTAACCTGGCTGAAACCTACTGGGCAGAAAGGTGGTGGCAGCATTCCCGGCAATAACATACCCAAAACATCAACCCTGGCACACTCTAGAGCTTTACACAAGAATTTGTGAGCTTACAGGTACGCAGGTTGTTCCTGTAACAGCGCTGAAGGTCCTTAAAGCCCTTGGATGCACTTTGCTGCAAAGGGGACAGAAATCAGGGAAGCCGATGTTAAAATGAACCTGCCGTTGAGCAGGCGACGTCACGTAACAGAGGCGTTGCAGCTATGGAAAAGGAAACCATAAAATGCTTTAGATTTAGTCACCCAAACAGCTACAGTAAGATGAGGAACATGATCTCAGACCTTGTAACAGCGACACCGCACGCACACCATGACACCGCATGTGCACCCAGAACCTGATCTCCCGTTTCTTGTGCCCATCTAAGCTGCGGGTTTAAGTGAGCAGTCACGGAGAGGAACCAGCAAAGCTCCCTTGCAATCCTTAATGCGCAGGATAGGTGCAAGCTATACGCTTATAGCTTTGGTAGTATGTTTCTCCAGTTAGTCCAGAACATATAATGTCATCAAGATATTGCTATTAATAATGTGCATCAGGCTTGAGAGTCAAGTGTCTGGCACTGAAGGATTAAATCCTTTCAGAAAGCAGGGTCAAAGAATATGATTACACCATTTCAAATGCTTCTAATTGGTTCGGCTTAATACCGCTATAGTAAGTGGTATCACAAATAACAGAATAAACTTCAGATTATATAGATGAGACGTATGCACCCAATAAAAGATGGCCCTCTGCCACTTTGAATATACTTGATTCCTTAAAATCCTGCAGTGGATAGATAAGTCATATTTGAGAGGAGGGATTCAGCTACCAGATCAGAAAATTCCAGTCTCAGCTGGAAATCAAATTCCTCTTCAGCCACAGAAACTCCCCTTTCTAAAAATTTAAGACAAGCACCACCTACAAAATTGCATCCCAAGAATCCAGTCCAGAGAAGTGCCCGTGGGAACTACAAAGGTAACTGATTCTACACTAGAATGTGCCAGGATATACGAACAGCCCCATTCCTTCAGAGCCTTCGCTCTTGTCCGGTAGTGAAACAGAAACCATCGGAATGTAAAACATAAACTTAACACAAATTTAAAGATGCTCGCACTTAACAGCTTATTGCCCATGCTCTTGCTGTAAGCCAGTGTGAATAATCACGAGATGTACTTCCACACACTGAGAAGGAATGAGGTCGGTAGAGAAACCCAGTGATCTATGCCTGGCTTCAAACTGCACTGCTTGGAGCAAACCTGACACATGCAGCCTTTGTCCAAAATACACTCCCGGTGAATAGGGGGTTCCTGGAAAACAGTCGCTCCCAACAGCTCTGTTCAAAGCAGTCAGGGGGACAAGGGCCGCTCTGGAAGTTGCTACGCACAAGTGCTCTGATGAAGGGGTCGCACAACCATTTCAAAATTTGCTGGCTTTTATTATTAAATCTTTTCTACAAAAAGGAGGGGTTGCAATATCACAGGATTTGCTCTAAA